TGCCACTTATTCTCTTTATGACTGAATCCTTTCCCTATCTGGGAAAAAGGGAAAATGAAAGGATTGCCCTTGGACACATCTAAGATTTCTTTTGCATCCTTTACCTCTTCCTTTCTCCCTCTGTCCTATGTCCGTTCTTTCTCTTTTAATCTGTCTTTTTTTCCCTCTCATTATCCTTCCCTTTTCCTTCTTCTATCTTTTTCCTTTAATTGATTATAATATCAATGATTTTGTTCTTCAGTCGTGTCTGACTCTTTGTGACCCCATTTGGAGTTTTCTTGGTGGTTTATCATTTGCTTATTTTACAGATGAGAAAACTGAGGCAAACAGGGTTAAGTGACATCATTATTTAACCCCAGTCATGCATTGCACACCTGTTGTCCAAGAAATAGCCTAGCCAAGTTCAGAGATGAACCACCTTATTACCACGTTGGCCTCTGGGTAATGGGCCTTTTTGAAATTAGTATCTTTTGAAGTCATCTACTAAGACAAAAAGAGCTTGGGATCCACATCAGTGGAAGGTGTAGCCATATCAAAGTACAAATTCTTGAAGTGTTGAAATCTTAATATTATCTATTATTATATTGATTAGACAGTGACATAAACCAATTAGATTAGACCCCTTTTACTCAGAGGAAGGAAATATGTAGATAAAAGATAGGGAGAATAATTAATGGACTTTCGTGAGTATATCCCTGACTCATAAGGAATTCTGTCAACTCCTGTGTTTAGCCACATTTTCATGAGTATATCCCCTGACTCCAAAAGAATTCTATTAACCCCTGTGTTTAACCTTTTGTGACCTATTCATGGTTGGTGCATTCAAAGGTGGTTGGGGATTGCTTACCCCCTAGATTAGAAAATCCAATTCCCTTTGTCTACCCAAAGTATAATTACTGGCCCTTAATAGCTGTGGGCCATAGGACTATTTATCGGGCTATTGTCTGCATAGAGTCACCCTTCTGGGACCTATTAAACATACAGCTTCATTTCCACTGGCCAAGTTAAGATGGCCACCCACTAAGTAGCAGAGAAGTAGTTATACATGTCTCTGTGTCTTTCTGATGTGAGTGATTACATCCATGTGGATTATGTATTATTCTACAAATGCTTTAGTTCAACCAAGTATGAGAATTTATCTAAGTTCCTGAAACCTAACTCCCAAAAAGTGTTTCATGTCCTCATTTATTATTAAAAAGCTAGTGAACATCTTATATTTCTTTTGGAAAAGTTTTTAACAAACCAAGGTAACTGAGTGTAGAATAAATTCCTTTACATTTGTGTAGTGCTTAATTATTTTTTTTCCCCAATAGAGAAAAGTTTCCCATCTCGATCTCATTAGGATGTCTCTCTTACCAGGATTTTCTAGCCATACCCGTTCCTGAGAAAAGGCATCCAGGAAACTAATTTCTCTAGCTAGAAGTCATTTTTCCTGTATCTCCACTGCTTTTTCCCCATCCTATCTGAAACTCTTGGGGACATTTCCAGATGACTCTAGGGAGTGAAACTCAAACCAGTGTTATTGCTTCCTCATATGTAGTAGGGGTCAAAGCTTTCAAATTTTTGACAAAGGATCAACTGATCAGTCAACAAACACTGAGAGCCTACTATGTGCTCAGGGCTATGCTGAGGTATTTGGATTAGTTATGGATTTCAATTATTACTGATCCCCTTGGCAACAGACCACTGAGAATAATTGGATTGTGAAAATCTCAAGTTATCTAGAACTCCCTGGGCATTGAGTTGCTTTGGATAGCCAAGTTTTCTGGATGTCTCAACCCTTAGGGGGACCAGAGGGTTTTCATTTTAATTTTGGATGGGAGTTTTTCTACACTATATTACAGACATGCTTGCCTTCTTAAACAGAGAGTGCTAAATCTATTTCAACTTTTGCTTAATGGCTCAGGGTCATTATTATGAATATTAATTGGTGGATTGGGTTCTGACACAAAATGCCCTTAGGGACCATGGGGGAGGGGGTGGGTAGAGAGGAAGCTGTTTGGTTCTAAAGTATGCCTAGGCTGATGCTTTTTAGTTTTCTGTTTATTCCTTTCCTGTCAGCTGTCTAGCATAGAGGATAGCGTTTGAAACCTGGAGTCAGGGAGATCTGAGTTCAAATCTGGCCTCAGACACTTACTAGCTATATGACCCTGGGTAAGTCACTTAACCTCAGCCTGCCTCAGTTTCCTCAACTATAAAATCAGAATAATAACAGTACCCAACTTCCAGAGTTGTTGTGAGGACCAAATGAAATAATGTTTGTAAAGCACCTTACAAACCTTAAAATGCTATAAAAATGTTGGCTATTATTATTCTATTCCTACCAGCAGACCTGCCTGTGACAGTCCACTCTCCTCCCTTGTAATTTGCTGCTTCCTTTTTTTTTTTTACCTGCTATCACCATGGAAATTAGATGACCAAGCTTATTAGAACTTAGTGTAAAGTTTGAGTGAATCGTCTGAAAAGTGGGATTCTAAGGAAATATCATCTGAGGAAAGGGAGTGGACTTTATTGCACAGACATTAATTTTGGTAGCCCTTGAGCTCTTTTTCTTTTTAAACTTACATCCTGGTCCATGACTGCTTTATGGCTAAGATAGTGAAGTTGCCAGTTGGCTGAATTCTAGATAAGTGAGATATTACAGTACTTGCCTTAATGAGCATTTTATTCCAAAGTTGGGGAAGTGTTTTCTCTCCTCCTATCTCCAACAAATGCCATCACCTCTATTATCTCACTTTATTTTCACAACATTCTTGTGTGGTATGTTTATTATACCCATTTTACAGAGAGGTTAGGTAGGGATGCATTCTACAAGCTCCCGTGGCATCTTGTAAGCAGCTCGTCCTATTATTGCTTTTACTCTCTATCAAGGACACTGACATTACCCTACGATGTAAACTCATTCATATGATGGAAATTAGGTCCAATAAAACCCAAATGGAATTTATGCCCATCTTTTATTGCATTCATAAGATGCCTAGAATGCTATGAACAGGGTAACACATTAAATAACAATAAAACAGCGACAAATGGTCATCCTGGCACCATAACGGTATGGTGAAGAGGAACTTGTTACTAGTTTTTTCAGCATTTTTGGTAGTTAGCTGTTTTTTTTATTGGTTAAAGGCAGCACACAAGGGAGTTAAATTAAATTGCAGCAGAAAAACTGAGGTTGTCTGCAGAACAAATTACCATCCCTCAAATCTACGGCTTCTACTCTGTGCCCTAACATGTTAGAATGGTGGGGTGAGAACAGAGTTAAAAGGCTTTTTTATTAACGATGTGTGCAAAGTGAGAGTCAAAAGGTTTTTCTCTTCTCATGGGGACAAGAACTAGAAATCTTTGACAATGAAACTGACATTCATTTGTTGGTCTGGAAGTGTTCCAGCAAAGTGAGGCTTGATTTCCATTAGTATGGCACTCAGTTCAATGTGCTGGTGGGTGCCTCACCAGGATTATTTAGAACCTGTTTGGAAAGCCTGTTTAGAAGATAGGGATAGACTCCCTGACTTAGAGGCATTGAGATACAGAGGGGCTTGGAGTCAGGAAGGCTTGAGTTCAAATCCAGCCACAAACACAAATTGTGTGACCCTGGGCAAGTCACTTAACCTCTTTTTGCCTCAGTTTCCTCTTCTGTAAAGTGAGGGTAATAATAGCACCCCCTTCTCATGGTTTTTGTGAGGATCAAATGGGATTAATAATTGTAAGGCACTTAGCACAGTGCCTGACACATAGTAAGCACTATATAAATGTTAGTTCTTATTATAATTAGATAATATTTGTAAAGCACTTAGCACAATGCCTGGTACCAGCACTTAATAAATGTTTAGTTCCCACCTTTCTACTTTTGGAGATACCTTCATTTCCCTATAACATGTACAAGGATGCCCATTGTTACAGTTTGTATTCAGACCACTAAATGGAAATAATACCACCCAAGGTAGCATCTGTGTCTTGGGTGGTGATAGTACTATGTGGTGAGATTTTGCCAGTGACATTTTGACAATGAGATTTTTCCATAGTCATATTTGCTTCTCTTTCTAACCCTCTTCTTGTGATGAAAGCCATGTAGGAGGGAGGTTGTCCAGGACCCTAGGGTTATAGAGCTGGAAGGGGCCTCAGTCTAAACCTCTCATTTTATAAATAAGGAAATACAGGCCCAGGGAGGTTCAAAGGCCTCATAAGTATTAATGTCAGGGGTGGAATTTGTACCCAGGTCCTCTGACTCCAGAGCCAATGATCTTTGTTAATGGTATCTGTGCTTCTCATCCTTTCCTCTCCCATGCCCATTCATCTACTGAATATCAAATATAAACTTAATAAAGAACCTTAAGAGGTGGAAGGGGTGGGGGAAGAATATGCATTTACAGTCTCATGGGTAGACAGTAGATGGCTAGGGACATCCTGAATCAAGAAGAATATTTACTGCTCAATAGGGAGTTGGAATATCCTCCTGTCCACCATGTTGATAAGAAGCCAAATCCAGAAGTAAGATATGATGGATCATAAGACAAAGTTGGAAGGGACCTCAGAGAGTTTTTCTTCCAAATCTCTCATCTAATAGATGGAAAAAAAATGTGAGGCCCAATGCCATGAACATTCTATATGCTCATATGCTGATTATTTGTCTCCTGCCCAGGTAAGCAAGCACTGGACATGGTCATTGAAAGGGCCCATTTGAGGTTGGAATAAGTAGTTGAGATCTCAGGGAAAAGAAAAGGGAGAGATAATGCTTTCCTAGCTGAACCATATTCAGAGATTTTGTATTAATGAGATCCCAGAAATACTTAAGGGGCACATAGAAATGTAAGCAGCTGGATGAGACCACAGTGCATGTGTAGAGAAATACCAAATTGAGACCCAGGTATTCCCAAGTGGGGCAGTATGTCACCTCCTTGTCCCACTCTTGTAGCTATGATCTTAGTTCCCTGATCTGAGTATGGAGAAGCATTGCAGAAAGTGGCTGATAGGAATACAGGAGTGGAGGGAAAGAGGTAACATTTTGGTAACAGAAGCTGACATTTTATTAACTTAAAGACAGAAAGGCACTCATGTATGCCTAGCACAGTATCCTGCACCTTTTAGACACCTAATAAGTACTTTTGTTGGTGATATTGAAAGAACCCCTTCTATCCTAATTTTAAATCTCTATATCTAACTTTGAGTATTTATTTCTCTCATGCTCACATCTAGTAAGAAGCCTTCCAATTCTGCACAATAGGAACAGGATAGACATGGTTTTGAACATGTTTATAATTACAAATATACTTAAAGATAAATACAGTCAACTCCCAATGCCAGTGAGGGTGACATATGTATATGAAAGTTTGTGAAGGCAAACTTTCCTTTTAAGGCTACTGCCTTTTGAGGTTACTAGTTCTTAAACTGATCACTTGCTTCATTAACATCTCATATTTGCTCCATTTCTTTCTTCATTTTTCAATGCAGCCTGACGGAAAGCCCTTTGCACTGTGGATTCAGCTCCCTGCCCTGGTCAAAAGAAGATTTGAAAAGGCGTAGCTTTGATGAAACAGGTGCTTTATGAAAGCGTTCTCCTTTCTCCTCTCGCTCTAGAGGAGGAGTTGTTTCTTCCAAAGGAAAGTGGGATTGGAATGAACTGAAGTGTCAGGTGAAGGAGGGCAGGAAAGAGAAATCAGACAGCTTTCCTGCTCCACTTCACGTCTTCACCACAACAGGGCCTCGTTCTTTGGTTTGAGGTGAATTCTCAGAAAATCAAACACGAGTAAAACCATGCAAATACAAAATTGGCCTTGACATTGACTCTTCATAATGAGATAATCCATCATGGAGGATTATCTGTGCTTTTGCTGCCTTCCATCAGTGAGAATGATGAGGGACAAATGGCTAGCATGAGATCCATCTCATGCCAGTTTCAAAAATGACCTCTATTGGAGACTATTAGAGGCACTTAGGGGCCAAAATTTCTGAGGGAGGTCACATTTCCTTCTTGGGCTCCTGGTCGGGTTGACTAAGATTGGAAAGTCACCAAGAATGGCTCCATTGGGCAGTAGAGACTCCAGCATTTCCTGAAGATGAGAGGGGCTGGCATCAGTCATTCTGTGCCCACTTGCTCTTGGTTTTGTCCATTGTCCCTATCTCAATACAGCTTCTTTTCTCTTTCTAGTCTTTGGACATAGTGTGTTCCAAGCACCTACAACAGCCAAAATATAAAGTCCCAAGAAACTACTTGCAAAAAAAAAATCAACGTATTCCTTTCTTTATCTCTTTTAGAAAAGGAAATAACCACTCTGTGTTACCAGCAAAATATTTCTTCACATGGTCCCTGGCCCCTGGCCCAGAAGGAAAGTCAGTGTTCTATATCCTGGGTGGTTAGAGTCTCCAACCGTGCCTTATGTTCTTTGGGGGCCCAAGCTCTATTTCTCTGGACATTGGAATACCCTAAGTAGAGGGTCCTGGTCAGATCCTGAGAAGTTGACAAGACACTCTGTTGAGGTCAGAGTTCTGAATAAGGAGCTAGCCCTTGGCTCCACATTCCATGGAAGCTGGAAAATCCTTGACCAAGGGTTATATGGTAGTACAGATCAGATACACATTTACAGAGTTCAGTTAAGTAGAGCAAGTTTTTGAAAAAGTAAAAAAGGTCAGTTTTTCTCCTCTCCTTCCCAGATACAAAAAAAGGAAAACTATTTGTTAACTTTAGTAAATACCAGTTTTGGGGGGCTGGGGTTGGAAGAGAGAGGCATCTTGGAGTCCAGTTCTTCTGGAGATCATAGCTGGGGTAAACAAAGAATGCTAAATCAGCCCAGATGCTTTTTCTTGTACGTTATACTCTTTATTTTTCTTCACCCTCCAGCTGATGAAGATGAGTAGCAGTAAGCCTAGGGCTTTGTAGCCCATCTGCAGTCCCAGATAACTGCCAAGAGAAAAGAGAATGGGCATTATAGGGAAAGTCTCTCAGCTTTTATGGAAAGTCCCTTTCATTAGTTCCAGGAGGTCTGAGGTGTAGGAGACACTCATCAATAGATTTAGAACTGGAAAGCACCTTAGAAAACATTTAATCCAAACTTCTCATTTCACAGTTAAAGAAACTGAGGGTCAGAAGGGTTCAATCAGTCACTTAGGTAGAAAGTGCAGCACTGGCATTATACTAGCACCTATATTGACTTTTAGAGTTTGCAAAGTATATTATTATCTTACTTGTATACTTAGTATACTTAGTAGTATAGTATAGTAGTAGTATACTTAGTATACAAAATATACTTATCTTACAACAACTCTGTAAGGTAGGTCATTTTACAGGTAAAGAAAGTGAGGCAGCCAGAGGTTAAGCGATGTCGTCATCATCATCATCATCATAGTATTTCTATAGCACTTTAAGATTTACAATATATTTTACAAATATCTCATTGTATCCTGACAGCAAACCTGGGAAGTAGGTGTATTATTTCTGTTTTGCAGATGGAGAAACTGAGGCTGCCAGATGTTAAGTGACATCATCACCATACTATTTCTATAGTACTTTAAGGTTTACAAAACACTTTACAAATATCTCATCTTTTCTTGACAGCAAACCTAGAAGGTAGGTGCCATATTCCCATTTTTACAGATGAAGAAATTGAAGCATGAGTATGGAAAAGGTTAAATCAGGGGTGGGGAGTCTGTGGCTTCAAAGTCACATGTGGCCGCAGGTTCCCCACCCCTGGGTTAAATAGTTTACCCAGTGTCACATGGCAAGTGTCTGAGGCCAGATAGGAACTCAGGACTTTGTGATTCTGAGTCCTTATTCTTTCCACTGTACCACCAAGCAGTCTGGATTTAAATCGCAATCCTCTGACTCCAAATACAAAACTCTTTTCTAATGCACCCCACAGTCCCCATAGAAGGCTAGAGCTAAGTACAATGCAAGAAAGCTCCAGAGAGGGGCAGCTAGGTGGCACAGTGGATAAAGCACCAGCTCTGAAGTCAGGAAGACCTGAGTTCAAATCCAGCCTCAGACCAAACACTTGACACTTACTAGCTGTGTGACCCTAGGCAAGTCACTTAACCCCAATTGCCTAAAAAGGAAAGAAAGAAAGCTCTAGAGGACAGCAGACTCTGGTCCACAGGTCAGGTTTATGTGGAGATAAGTAATCCAGTGTCCCAAATGATCCTGATTCCTGAGATCAGTGAATTTTTTTATGATTATCTCAGACTCCAAAGAGGAAGAAGTATTTTTCCCTGCAATCTTTTGCTCTTGGCCCTGAAACTTAGGATTATGGAGATACCTCATTTTAACCCCCTTACTCTCCTCCCCACTTCCCTTCAGAGTCCCTCGTGGCCCTCAGTGAGTGAAATGAAGTGGAAGGATAGCAACATACTGATTAAGTGGAGAAGGGACACACCTTTCTTATCACCATCACCAACAGTTGTTGACCAACTGGCACCAATGGGCAGATTGGCACCAGACCCCTGGGAATGGCAGCAACCCTTCCTCATTCCCTCCCTGACCACTGGTCGTGCTTCCAGCTAAGCCCTTACTACCATCGTCAAGGGAAGCAACTTCTGGGGAGAAGGGGCCAGCCATCCCCACCAGCTACCAACCATCTCCCTCTTCCAGGGCAGACAAGCCAGCCTAGTTGAAGCAGCAAGGCATCTTGAGGGAGATGCAGGAAACAGAACATGCCAGGCAAGTCAAGCCACCACCACCACCACCATCATGACTATCATATTTCCTCAGACCCTGATGGAGATGGCCTAGGATTCTGAACCCAAGAGCAATGCTTCCAGCCATCATCCTGGGAAGCAGTCTCTGTGGAAATGTAGCCTGGCAACTGCTCTTACAGATACTCTAGCCACAGCTACTGAAGACCCAGAAAAGAAGTTTCTTGCCACCAAAGTCTCTGACATTATCACATGGCTGACATCAGAAACTGATATGATTTTATCAGTTAAAATTACATTAAAGAAAAGGCATGACCTTCTTCTTTGCCACTATACCCTATCCACTGTTCCTCATCTGTAAAGTGAGGGGGGTTGGGCCAGATGAACTCTGAGGTCCTTTCCAGGTCTAAATCTATGATGCTATAATCCTTTCCTCCCTTCTCTGAACCCCAAGGACAATGGGACTTTTTCATCTGACTTGCAGCTGAAACTTCCTCTATGTCTTGTCTCTGCACTAGAATGTGAGATCTTTGAGAGAAGGGGCTGTCTTACTTTGCACATTGTAAACACTTAATAAAGGTTTTATTTAGGGCAGCTAGGAGGTGCAGTGAATAGCTCACTGGGCCTGGAGTCAGAAATGTTCATGTTCTTGAGTTCAAATCTGGCCTCAAACACTTATTACCTGTGTGATCCTGAGCAAGTCACTTCACCTTTTTTGACTCAGTTTCTTCATCTGTAAAATGAGCTGAAGAAGGAAATAGCAAACCACCTCGGAATCTTTGCCAAGAAAACCTCAAATTGGATCACAAAGAGTCAGACATGACTGAACAACAACAAAAACAGTATTTTATTTTTTCAAACAAAAAAGGCGAAAATTTTTAAAGTTGGTGGTACGTTGGGCATACCTTAACTAGTTTTGCACACTGGGCAAACATAGCTTTGGGGCATGAAGAGATTAGCATTAGTTTTTCCATAGCACTAGGATGTTCTTACCCACCCCTGCATGTATAGATTTTTTCTTTCCAAATTAGCCTTCTTCTACAATGCTACTTTCAAGGTACATATCTCACTCACCTCCTCCTTTCTCCCATCTCCTTTTACCTGTGGCATAGAGTAAAGAAGACTTGAGTTCAAATCTTGTCTCAAACTTACTAACTGTGTGACCTTGGGTAAGTCACCTAATCTCTCGCAGTCTCAGTTTCCTCACATGTAAACTGAGGGGGATTGTCTGTATGACCTTTAGAGGCCCTTCCAGCTCTAAATCTATGAGCCTATAATCCTTCCCTCCCTTCTCTGAACCCTAACCCAAAACCAAAAACAAACAAACAAAAAAAACAAGCAAAGGCAGATTCATTTTCTTTAGGCCTACTGAAGCTGATGGTGCAGTGGATAGAGCATTGGGCCTGGAGTCAGGAAGACTTGTGTTCAAATTTGACCTTAGATAGTTATTACCGTGTGACTCTGGGCAAATCACTTAACCTCCGCCTGCCTCAGTTTCCTCAACTATAAAATAGGATCATAACATAAGGTCGTTGTGAGGATCACATGAGATAATATTTGTAAAGAGCTTAGCACAGTGCCCGGCATATAGGAGGTGCTATATACATGCTTATTCCCTTCCCACCCTCTACCTGAAGATGTGTAATGGGCACATGTGGAAAAATCCTTCCCACGCCATCAGTGTAGGCATCCCTCCACTTTTGTCACCTGTTGCGAAGAGAGTCATTGTCATAATAAGCGCAGGACCCTTTCTTCCCTGAGCACAATGTGTTCCACCGGATGCAGGAGTAATCAATAGTGAGGCCGTACAGGGCTGGAGAGGGCAACCAGGCTACGGGGGACAAGGAAGGAAAAAAGATTCAGAAAATCAGAAAATACCAGGTTAAATATTTGTTGCAAGAGGTAAGGAATCTTGGCAGCCCCGTGCTCTCCCGGGGGACTTCCAAATGTTGTAGTTACCTTGTGGTACATTCTTTTTTTTTTTTTTTTAAAGGAAAAGAGGGCAGAAATCCCATCACAAAATGACTCTGTTCCTCAAGGGAATTTCTTTAAAGACAATTATCTTTTCATGAATTGTGGATTCCTCTCGAAACAGAAGAGAGAAACAGACCAGGGACATATCCATTCAACACACAATGAATCATGGAAGTTGGGTTAAGTACCAGTTGAAAGATTTGAAAACATGGTTGAAAGCCACACTTTTAAAAAATGGGATTTGCACAGATCCTTTCTAGCTAGAAGATCAAACCCTTTCGGAAACCTTCCTATACCTGTTGTGGGAACTTCCTTGAAAGACTGGGAAGGGGGCAAGACCTTGTTTCCCTCTTTTACTGATGTCCACTGGGGTGTTTAAGGGGTGCCAGGAGTGTAAAAAAAGACCATAGAATTCACCAACTTTGAATCTCAGACTTTGACCTCAGAAATCATTTAAGCCAACTCATTTTACAGATAAGTAAACTGAGGCTCAGAGAGATGAAAAATGACTTACCCAGCCAGAACCCATGTCTTTTGTTCCCTTGATCCAGTGCTCTTCCCATAATTTTACATTGGAGAATTACTTTGTATTTAGGCTGTAGACACAGGGTGTCCCAAAAGTCTTAGTGCAGTTATTTTTTGCAGGGGGTGGGAGTGGGGTGGACAGTTTTTGCACTAAGGTTTTGGGATATCCCATATCAACAGTAAAGTAATAAACTTAAAACTGCACTAGGACTTTTGGGACACCCTATATTTTTCATGTACATATATGTGTACATATTGTTTCCCCCAATAGAATGTAGGCTCCTTGAGGGCAGGAGACTGTTATACTTCTCTTTGTATACTCCAGACCCAGCACAGTGTCTGGTATATAGTAGGTACATAAGATATTATAATTGATTTTGTAGGCAGATGACAACTGAGATAGCTTTGGTTAGTTTGTTCAGTTATCAGAATTACACAAACTGTGTCCAGCACAGAATAAAGTTGGAAACTTGCAATAATGGGAAACTGTGGCCAAATTTTTAAGAATGCAGAAAATATTTTATCTTTATGACATGCAAATCGGTATCCTTTAAAAGATATAGTACTGAGATAGTCATACAGTTATGTCTAGTCAGAGGACCTAGGGCTCTATTGAGTTGTCCTAACCAGGGGTGGATTCAGTCAAAGGGCCATACTTGAGGACCTAGAGGGCCACACATGACCTCAAGGCCTGAAGTTTCCCCACCCCTGTACTAAACACAACTAAATAGATCGGATGTAATTGGAGAAAGCTGCTTTGTGACTGATATTTAAGTGAATTAACAAGAAGCTGGTTCTTCTCTCTGGCCCTTCCCAACATTATCATTCTCACCACCATGTTTCTGGGAGAGGGAAATTAGCAAGAATAGAGAGTCATTATTTCTACCTTGCTCCATGTGAAACTAAGTCCAGATGGGAAAAATTTCTATCAGCATGCACTGGGAAGTAATTTTAAATCTGCCTAAGTTTAAAAATACGAATCATTTTTAATATATTAAACTCAAGCTGCATTCTTTGGTGATGAATACAATCTTGCCAAGCCTGAACTTTATAACTTTGGCCACTTTGAGCTATCTGAGCTCAATTTAGGGGGAAAAAAAGAAAGGAAAAAACCATAAAAAAACAAACTTTCCAAATGCTTGTAGCCACAGAAAAGGTCATTTTTTTTTGAGTTCACTGGAGGTAGCAAGGACTCGACTTATTTAGCTCATATTTAAGCTGCCTTTTAAGCTATGTCAAGAATGGAAAGTTTCAATCTCCACAGGGAGTTTTTGGATAAAGTTTAATTGAATGAAAGCAAGAAGTTGTAATGAAAACAGATCTCCTACTGTTCTGATGGTTCTTTCTACCCCAAACCATGTACAATGTGCATTTTACCTTGGTCTGATAAGGTAAGAGAGAATTAACTGGCCCACCAGACCAAGGAGGAGAAGACCACATCAGTGTGATGATGCGGAAAGAACCCTGGATTCCACGACACTGCCTCTAGCCATGATCATCCCGAATTGGTCCTGTTTTCCCAATGAGTCCTAAAAAGAATGTTCTTTCCTTCTTATTCTCCTTAGGCAGTCCTATCTTTGCCTTTCTTCTGATCCTTGAAGATATTGCCTCACATGGTCCTCCTGTTAATCTAATAAAGGATTTCACTTTCTACTTTTCAGAAAAGATTGAGACCATCTGGTCCAAACTCCCTCAAATAACCTCCCTCTTCTCATTATCCCTATGTTAATTCTCTCCTTTTTCCTTCCAGAGTTAGAGCAGAAGGTTTCATTCTACTCTATAACTAACCCCTTCACTCTAGACCCCATCCCTTCTACTTGCCCCAGGACCTTATTCCCATAAGCAGCCCCTCCTCTAGAATCTTCAGTCTCTTTCTCTGCAGGTGCTCCTCTACGACTTCAAGCATATCCAGGTCTCTAACTTTGAAAATTTCCAGCACCTAGGACAGAGCCTTACACATAGTAGGCACTTAATAAATGCTTCTTGAATTGAATTGATTTGTTACCTTATAGCTTTTCACTGCTAAACTTCTTGAACCTATGTGGTCTACACCCACTACATCCACTTTCAATCCATTCATTCTTTTCTTAACTGGATGCAACCTCAATTTTTCCTACCCTTACTTCTATCATAACTACTTTTTCAAAGCTTATCAGTGACCTTCTTATTAAATCTATAGGGTCTTTCTCACACTTTATTTTCCACATGGTACAGTAGGAAGAGTAGAAAGCACCTGGGTTTGAATCCCTGCTCTACCACTTACTACCTCTGTGACTTGGGGCAAATTATTTATTAATAAGCCTTAGTTTTCATATATGTAAAAAGAGGACATTGGACTAGATGAGTGGTGTCAGACTCAAATAGAAACAGATTTGTGGGTGGTATATTGGCTTAGCAAGCCACAAATTAGCATTATATATGTTGTTGTTAAACATTTCCCAATTACATTTTAATCTGGTTTGGACTGTACTTAGCAATTTTGTGGGCTGTGAGTTTGATACCTTTGGACTAAGTGACCTCTAAGACCCCTCCTAGCCTTAAGTCTATGATCCTATGTATTATCACTTGATAGTGATTGGTTTTCTTTCTTTGATTTTTTTCTTTTTTGACGTATGAGTCTAGTAGTGATATAGTTGGTTCAAAGGGTATACATACTTCTGGGCATAGTTCAAATTGTTTTCCAGAATGTCTTGACTAATTCATACCTTTGCTAACAGAACACTGGCATATCTGTTTTCCCACAACCCCTCCAACATTTATCATTTTCCTCTTTTGTCATCTTTGCCAGTCTAATAGCTATAAGGTGGAACCTTAGAGTTGTTTTAATTTGCATTTCTCTAATTATGAGTGATTTAGAGTATTTTCCAGAAAGTTATTCTATAATAATTATTTCCATATAATTATTCCACATAATAATTATTGAGAGTTTACCTGTCTTCCTTCTTCCTTTGAAAACTGTCTGCTCATATCCATGGCCATTATCTATTGATCTTTCTTTGTTTCCCACAATTCAATACTTCCTGGTTTTCCTCTTCTCTCTGACCATTCTTTTCTGTCAACTTTGCTTGTGCCTCTACTTTCTTCTGTTACCTGCAAGTATCTTCCTAGGGTAGCTATGGGTATCCTCAGTCTTCAGCTATTTTTTTCTCCATATTCCTTCTCTCAATATATTTCTAAGATCTCAACACCATCTTTATGTTAATGATGTGCTAAAGATACCTAAATCTCTATCTCCAGCCCTAAACACTCACCTCTGTTCCAGTCCTTCACATATAGTTTACCTACAGAACATCTCCATATAAATGTCCCACCTCACCTTAAAATTGACATCTACCAAACCAAACTCCCCACACCAACTCCATTTCCAGATTGTTCCGTTTCTTCTAGGACTTCACACATTCTTCTAGTCTCCCTTGCCTGGAATGCTCTCCTTTCTCATCTCTACCTCTTGGCTTCTCTGGCTTCCTTCAAGCCCCAACTCCCAATTCCTCTTAATCCTAGTGCCTTCCTTTTATTATTTCTTATTTACCATGTGTATAGCTTATTTGCACATGGTTGTTTCCATGTTGACTCCCCCATGAGATTGTGAGGTCCTCAAGGGCAGGAACTTTCTTTTGCCTTTTTTTTTTTGGACCCTCACTGTCTAGTACAGTGCCTGGCACAGAGTAGGTGATTAATAAAAGTGTACTGACTGACAGACCAGGCTAGAAACCTCATTGTCTTTCAAAGAAAGATCTGTTACTTTATTAAGACAGGTATACATGGGTTTATGTGCCCTCCACCAACATAAATCTATCTGTTTATCACATCATGATTCAATCAATGCTCAGTTCATCACTGGACAAAGTTACTTCTTAGTTACATCTTCCATGCAATCTTGTACAATTCTCTTATATGTATGAGATACATATATGCTCATATATACATGAGATACATGAAGGCCTGTAGGGAGCCTTCAAAGCAACATTTTGTTCTACCAAATCGAATAATTTCTTAAAATTGATAAATAACTCAAGTCTTATATTCTCTGTATCTTTTGGTCAATAGTGTCACTAAAAAGTAGCTTTTCATAGAACTTGGCAAAAGCCCTGCCCATCCCTTCTACAGTTTTCATCAAAGCACCCTCAATGCATATGTCATTTGCATAAAGCTTTTTCTAGAGATTAGAAAGAGGTATGTGGATCAGTAATAGCTAATGTCTTCCTGATTAGTTGTTTTGTTAAAAGAACTTACCCCTCTGCTCTTCTCCCCCACTCAATCTTTTACATCCTTTTGGAATCTTCCTCTCTTTGAGATAATCTTGAAAATTGACCTTTGTGGTTTTTTCAATTG